CCAATGCTCCTTGGATTGGTCTGACTGCTAGTTTCTCTGTTCATTTCAGTTATGGGTTCTATGAGGCCTCCCAAATATTCAGTACCTTGGTCCTAAAACAAGTGTTCAAATATGAGTGATTGGGCAAAAGGCCTCAGGATGTTGAGTAAGAGCTGAGCTGGTGACACCAGTGTGATAGATCCATCAGTTATCTCCTCGAGGGGTCCAGGGCTTTCATTAGACTGGAGTCTCACCCATTTGAGTTGGCAAAGAGCCCTGTTATGAGAACACCTAGAACTTGTCATTTGTGTCTGGATTGTTTGTTCACTAGTACTCCTGAATTCTTTGTAGCAGGGTCATTTCCTGTTTAAAACTCTTCAACTTTTCTTCTTCAAAGACCAGGACTGACTGAAAATAATCTCCGTCCTACAGAGCATGAAAGAGTCTTCACAATGGTAAGTCAGTGATGTGATAGGCTATTATGAAAAAAGAAAAAGGCAAAATAACTGGGAACTGCAGTTAGTCCCTCTGATTTGGGAATAATCATAGGCAGTACACCTGCCCACATTGGACTAGTGCAGAGCATTTTCTGTGTTGGTAAATCCATCCAGGTTTTTCCTGGGAGGCTGGCTTTAATATCCTGCCTCTTTAAGATTGAGAAACCACCCAGCCCTCCTAGCTCTTGGCAAGCAATGTATTGACTTCATGTTGTTACTCAGCATTTTGTTTTGTATTGAAATGCCTGGCTCTGCACAACCGGTTTGTAAAGTCTGGGGATCCTTGGGCGTGCCCAGAAACCCAGGGGCCTCAGGAAGAGAGAACTAAAGAGACAGAGTGACAACCGGAGAAAGACTTTACAGCTCTGAGCAACTTGAATCAAGCCTATGTCAACAGCCTAGAGTCTTGTTACTCCCTAGAGCAGAGGTTCTCAACCTTTCGAATGCCGTGAACCTTTAATATAGTTCCTCATGCTGTGGTGATCTCCAACCATGAAATTATTTTCATTGCTACTTCATAACTGTAATTTTGCTACTGTTATGAATCGTAATGTAAATATCTGTGTTTCCCGATGGTCTTAGGCTCTACAACAGTGGGGTCTCGACCCACAGGATGAGAACCGCTAGCACCAATGGAAAACACAGATCTTTACATTACGATTCATAACAGTAGCAAAATTACAGTTATGAAGTACAAAAAAAATAATTTCATGGTTGGGAGTCACCGCAACATGAGGATCCGCATTAAAGGGGCGCGGCATTAGGAAGGTTGAAAACCACTGCCCTAGAGCCTTTCCACTCTCTTCTCTTGGTTGCAATCCCCCCTACACTTCTAGGAGCAACTCTAATGCTACCTTCCCCAGCCTAATGAACCTGGTCCTCTTCTGTGTTTCCTATAACACTTGTTTACTCTGTCTAACTTACAAGTCTTCCTTGTAGCACGCTCTTTAAATATGTTTTATGTATATGTATTTCCCTACTGGTGACCTGGACAATCAGAGTGACCTGGTTTCATTTGCATCCCTTTCTGTTAGCACAATGCCTTGCATTTTATTAAATAAAAATGCTTGAACTGAGTGGAATCAAAGCCTAAGGAGATGATTTGATTTCTAGTAGACCTGAGGATGTTGAGTCACGCACAGGTCCTGCCCTCCTCGGATGGACCTCAGTTACCCCTTGGTTTGCTGTAGCTTCAGCAGAGGCATATCTCCCAGGGTTGCTATGTCCCATAAGTATCTCTGCCTACACTGGCCTTAGGGTCTGTCTTTAAATCATCATGGAATCACATTCACTTTAATAGTTCATATGCTAACATTGTAAAGACACTGAAAAGACCAACATGGTCTTATTTGATGAAGAACAACCACTTTTTGAAGTGTTGTTGTTGTGTTTTTTTCCCCCCCCCCAGGAAATAAATGACCATGCATAGGGGATTACTTAAAGTTTTATTGTAGATTAAGTGGAATGTGGTATATTAAAATGATCGTGTAGCTGGAACCGGTTTGGCTCAGTGGATAGAGCGTCAGACCGGGTTCGATTCCTGTCAAGGGCATGTACCTTGGTTGTGGGAACATCCCCAGTAGGGGGTGTGCAAGAGGCAGCTGATTGATGATTCTTTCACATTGATGTTTCTAACTCTCTATCCCTCTCTGTAAAAAAAAATAAAAATAAAAAATCAATAAAAATATATATTTAAAAAAAATGATCGTGTAGATCAATGTTGATCACCATGAAAGAGGTTCTTGGAACATACTGTTCAGTAAGAAAAAGAAGTCTAATGTAGTATGTTTATTATGATCCTAAATATTTTATACTATGTATTATAAAATATGTATAAACATGCCTAGAGAAAAAAAACATGGAAAATTATACAGGCATTTATCCTTCTCATAAAGTATCCATAACAAGAACTGGATATAGCCCAGTGAGCAATTATGAAACATGATTTAAATGTACTACTCATAGTGGTAACTACTGATTGAGAACCAGCCTCATCCGACTAGCAGTGAAGCTGCCGTTTCTCCTGGCCACTGTGGACTCTGCTGCAGGCAGAACCGCACAGCAAAAGCGACAGGGGTCAGAGGGCCCTGAGTGCCGGAAGCAAAGGGCAGGAGGGAAGAGTCTGCTTCTTTTTGTGGTTTTTGATCCACCATTTTTAAAAGCTGGAATTAACAACCAAATACACTTGTGATTATGAAAGCACATGCATTATTGAAATTACTATGAAGAAAAAGAAAGCCTATTCTACCATGAGTCTAAAACTGCTCTGTTCCCATGAAAATATTTGTAGAATCTTGACTTTAAATTTCAGCTTGATTTACTTTTTTGATAGGGATTACATTCATCAAGGATGAACTTTAAAAACAATAATAGCATTTATCTATTAAAACATAATAGCATTATCTAAGTTTTCTTAAAAAAAGCATTATCTAAGTGAAAAATGTCTCTCCCACGCTTACTACCCAGACACTCTCCTCAGCTACAGTCAGCATTACCTATGTCTTATCTCCCTTTGGGCAATTTAAGATTTCTTAGGGATGCAAATATTTAGCTAACAGAATAGACGATACTATTATAACATGTTAACTGTAGTTGTCAAGTAGAGAAATTTACGGGGAATATTTATCCTTTCATAGTTTTCTGTATAAAAATTTCCCCCATTAAGTCAGAGAATTAAAGGTAATTTCCAAAACCATTTTGCTGGACTCTGTGACAGCATGCCTAAATCTTGCACTGTCATCACTTTTTAATTATTCTGTTTCTCTGCTTCAAGTTGGTAGTCTTGGTTAACAGTATAGCTAATGCAAAGAAGTTTCCTCTTAAGATTCTTTTTCTTCCCTCCTCTTCCTCAATCTATACCTTGTTGGAAAAAAAAAAAGGCACATCTAAGTCATATTCTGAAGAGAAATTACTTACTGGAATTCCCACTGTGACTTCTGCATATTATGTGATCCATACTAATTAAATTAAAATCACTAATATCTAGTATGCTTGATTTACTTAATCTGTTTAAAGTAACAGCAACATTCCCCAACTGGTTTGGCTCAGTGGATAGCGCATCAGCTTGCAGACTGAAGGGTCCTAGGTTTGATTCCGATCAAGGGCACATGCCCAGGTTGCGGGCTCAATCCCTGGTAGGGGGTATGCATGAGGCAGCCAATCTCTTCCTCTCCCTTTCTCTCTGAAATCAATAAACACAGACACACAAAAAAAAAAATTTTAAAAACTGAAGTAACAGCAACAAAAACAATATCAAATTCTTAAGAGATGCTTACCATGCTAGGAAAGGGTAATTATTTATTTTAAAAACAAAATATAATAAGAGTTGTGGCCCAGAAAGAAGCTCACTACAGACTGATTCATATGCCTTTCAGCATAAGACAAGATTATTGTTTGTCTCATTTTTGATTCTTATATTTCCAGTAGGACATGATCTCACTCATCTAGGGGAAATGGTGAAAAACATATAATAGACTGATGAACAAGTACAGACCCAGAGATAAAGAATCATTGGTCAGACTGTTGGACCTCAAAGGGAGGGTTGGGATAAAAGGAAGAGATCAACCAAAGGACTTATGTGCACACATATGAGCCTAACCAGTGGTCAAGGACAATAGGGGGTGGGGCATGAGTGGGGAGAGGGATTGAAATGGGGGGTTGAGACAAATATGTGATGCCTTAATCAATAAAGAAATTAATTAAAAATATAATAAGAGTTAACAATTACAAGTGTATAACTGGTAAACTGGCACATTTCAATTTTGTGAATACATTTTGAGCTACTTTCGCTATGCTTGCGGTCAAGTGTTTTGCCAGGCCTGCTCCAGGTGTGAGAATTTGAATGACAGTGTCATTTACTCATAAATACAGTTTATCAGACCTAGAAAATGTCATCTCTGCTGTTGCTGCTATATCACCTGTAAATTCAACCTCAAATTTTACTTCCTTGTGCTTTCTCTTCCATCTCCTCCTTTCCTTGTTCTTATTCATCTTTTTTTTTTTTTTTTTTTTTTTTTCCGTCTTTCCTGGCAGGAGGCTAATGTAGCCTTAGGAAAGTAGAGTTAGATGAGCACTGATAACAAAACACAGGGAGCCAGGGTTTCTGTCTAGTTCTCTACTAAACTAGGTGTCTTAGGCAGGTCACCTCAATGTTCATTTCTTTGTTCAACAAACACCTGCTGAGCTCCTGCCATGATCTAGGTGCTTGGAATGCAAAGATGTTTATGACATGACCTCTACTACAGGACTCTGCACCTGGCCGCTCTAGTTGTCTCTAAGGAGGCCAGATGTCAGGACAGCAGCTGGAGCAGTGAGTGGACATAAGTCTGTGGTACACCCCATACAATGCAATGTGCTAAGTGTGGGTAGTGTGACGACCGAGGAGCTCAGGAGCAGCAGCTACAGGGTGTGACTGTGAAAATCTGTTCCATGGTGTCAGGGAGCAAATGGTGGCAGTAGTGGCAGCAGTGATCTAGCTCCATGCCTTTCAACACTGCTAGCTGTTGCCTTGGCTGCCATGGTCAGAAAGCAAAGCAAGTGGGGTGGGGCATCGAGTGAACCTAGCCCACAGAGTTGCATGATTTGAAAGAGTGGCAGAATGCAAGCTCACCTTGAGTTGTGGGTTAGAGAGATCACCTGTTTGGGAGTTGAGGAGGGTCCAGTAAATTTAGATCACCACATTTCATAAAATGAACCCCCTGATCCTGTGGGGAACAGAGCCCTTCTTTCTTTTCCCATGGTTTGAACAAATAGATGAATGAAAAAGCTCTATGGAACCTTTAAGTATACAGAGATCATGTCCTTGGTGGAAAATTGGGAGGGTCTAGTAATCTAGATCTGAGCATTGTATCTCATCTCTCTATATAAAAAAGTAATATGCAAATTGACCGAATGGTGGAACGACAGCTCTACCAGTCGCTATGAGGTGCACTGACCACCTCTCGATCCCTCCACTCTCCCCCACCACACCCCGGCTTCAGGCTCCTATTGCCTGGAAGTTAGAGGGGAACCCGGTGTGGATGGTAGCTGGGGGTAGGACTGGCAGCTGGGGGAGATGATCCTGATAACAGGCCAGACCTAGGGACCATACCTGCACATGAATTTCGTGCACCAGGCCTCTAGTTAAATAATAATAACATAAAATATTGCAGTGGAGTGAGTGGTCTTATCAACACTGTTTCTCCAGAGGGCTCACTGAGCTTCTGGATGAAGGACCGCCTTGGAGGGAAGGAGGGAGCCCTGCCCCAGCCCCCTCTCTAGGACTCGAAGAAAGGGACTCCTACAAGCACGAGGACCTGGTGAAGGAGGGGTTTAGTGCCCCATTGGTGGCTGAGGAAGACTGGCACCAGGTGGGGCAGAAAGGACAGGTTTGGGTTCAATAATGAGAAAGTAGAGATTAATTTCACATCTGGTTGTTTACTTTGGCCAAGACAAAGATCGTCTGAGACTTAGACGAAGGGAGAGGGAGAGAGAGATAGAAACAACAAGGATGACGGAGAATCATTGACTGGCTGCCTCCTGAACACCCCCTAGTGCGGGTTGAGGAACCCAGGCATGTGCCCTTGACAGGAATCAAGTCCGGGACCCTTTATACCACAGACTGATGCTCTATCCACTGAGCCAAACCGGCGAGGGCTGGTTTCCTCTTTTGTAAAATAGGGATTAAATACCACTATACACTATTCTGAACTTCTTCCCATTACAGAATTTGCTAACATTAGCAATTTACCTTGATAGATACACCCTTTTAAAACACAAGGAGGGAAACACAGTATCTTCCCAAACTTGAAATGGATCTGGTTCTGCGGGTTTCTGGAGACAAGGGGAGGGGTCTCTGACTTGGATGGTGCTAGATTGACAGGTTTCAGAATGCAGATTCAGGAATGGACTTTTGAGCATCTCTAATTTTACAAGTGTCTGTGTAGAAAGCAAGCAAAGTTTCTGTGCAGGAGAAAGAGCAGATTTCCAGGTGGTGGGAGCCATCCAGCCCTTAGCAGAGAATCAAGTCAGGGGTTCCTCTTGGTGAAAGAAAAGCTGAGGCGAGAGAGACCCCCAGGTCAGAAGAAAGTCAGACATGCCTCTGAATCCTGGCTGTGCACTTCTTGGCAACACTGTGTTTTCGGTGACTATCTGTAACTAAAAGTATTATTGGGAGGATGAAAATAGAGTGCCTATGTCAATTTCTGGGCATCAAGTAAGCCCTCCATAAATTGTTAACAGTGTCTTTTATTGAGTCCCACATGACCCTGGTAAACTTTTGACTGAAACTGTTAGAAGCTAAGAGGGGTCCAAGAGGTGTTGGTTTGGGGTCTGAGCTAACAGATGAGATTTCTGCCAGGAAGGTGTGTCCTGTCAACCCGCAGCACAGGTTTTACAATAGTAGGTCATCTTAGGGCCTAGAGCATCTGCCCGGTCACAAACGAACCCTGTCTGGCTGGGATCTGGGTGGGAAGGGTGATAAATCCTGCAGGTGAGGCCCTGGGAGTGACGCACAGGGCCCTCCTGTGGCCCTAGGACAAAAGGGGGGCGGGGAGGGGGTAGAGAGGGAAGGAAGCAAGTCTAGTCAGGTTCTGATGGCAGAGTCCAGACATTTGCAGAAGCACTGCGTCAGGAAATGGACTATCCATAAGAAAGAAAGCGAGTGAATGATAAACGGCCTCTGAGGAATGCAGCTGTTTGGCCAAACTGTGTAAGCCCTGTCACGAGACTCCAGTGAGTTCCAGTCTCGATACTGCCTAGCAAATCACGTGATGCTCACTCTTGTCTTCCTGAGATAGAAATAACTTCCTTCAGAGAAGGATAAAACCAACACATACTTCTTGCAAAATAAGTGCATAGAGAGCATAGGAAAGTATAAAGCAAGTAAAAATCATTTTGATTTCCAGCATGTGATTTCCAGTAAAGTAGGCTTTTTGTGAATTAAGCATTTCTACTAGTGTGAGTTGCTTCCTTTACTCCTGTTACCCTTTAACATGTTTTTACTTAATTACTAAGTTGCTTCCTTCCTTATGGATTTGTATAAAAACCTTTTTTTTTTTTTGTAGTTAAGGATATTAAATATTGGTCATATATTTCCCTCTTCTGGTTTGTCATCTGTCTTTTTGTGGTGTCCTTTCTCCATTGTATGGTGTGTTTGCCACCCCAAGTCAAGTCTCTTTCTATTACTATTTACTATTATTCCCTGTTCAGTCAATATCTTCACTCTTTAAATGCCCTGTAAAATCAGAAGGTGATCTTAAAGATTCAAAATAATGATGCTGGAAATAAAAGGATGAGAGAAAACGTGAAGATCTGACTAACTGCCAGGCAAGTGGGACAGACAGTAGGTGCTGTAGGAGGTTCTAGCTTCACCAACTGAGAGCATGCTCAGGGGTCAGCGTCCCTGTGTTTGAATCCTGGCTCTGTCCATTGGGAACAGTTTGAAATGGGAAAATTTGCCTCCGCTGCCTGGACCTCTGCTTCCTCCTCTGTAAACTGCAGGACTTTTGTGTAGGGTGCAAGAGCATTGTAAAGTTTCTGGAGGGCTGTGAACTCTTAATAAGTATTAATTATTTTTAATGTCTGAGAATTTTCAGGGCCGGGCCCAGTAAGAAACAGGGTAAGAATTAGTCCCAGGATGGGTATGGATGAGGTTTGTCAAGGGAGGGCTGAACATTTGAACCAAGGACCCTGAGAATCCACAGGAGATGGTGATTCACACAGAACTCCCAAGGATGTCACAGGAGCACCAGTAGGAGTTGCTCAGAGATGTGGCTGTGATGTGTGTGCAAAAGTGGCTGAAAGCAGCCGCCAGGGAGAGATAACAATGCAAAGATGAGGAAGACACAAGAAGGAAGTCAGCAGATTTCCTGTAGGATGGATAACTTTAAGAAGAAACTGGAACAGAAGTATCTCAGCCACTAAGGAAGGAAAGGAAATGCAAGCCTCAGACAAAAAACAAACTTGCCAACCACTGGTACTGAAATCAAAATAAAGATAAAGCCCTGCCCCAGCCCCACCCACCTGAATGGCTAAAATGAAAAGGACTGGTGGTGACAAGTATTGGAACAAAAGGAACTGCTGTGGGTAGAAATGCAAATTGGTGCGATCTCTTTGGAAAATTGCTTGAGGATATCCATGCAAGCTGAACATACACAAGCACAGCCTCGAGCTCAGCCACTGTGTGCCCAGGTGTTTACTGACTAAAAATACACATATTCGGTCATTTATACTAATAGCAACAGTAATCACAAAAGTTCCCAACTGGAAACTCCCCGAACGCCTCTGCCCTGAAAATAGACAGACACGGTATGGAAGGTTCTGTACTGCAAGGAGAATGGAAGGATCACAACAACATAGGCGAAACGCACAAAACAGAGAGGCAAGGGATACAGAAGGGTGCCTGCTGTGCATCCATACAATTCCACTGTATACAGTTAAAACAACAGGCACCGGTAGTTTGAGTGTTAAACCTCTTGCCATCCCAGCAGCTATAACAGAAAACCAGAGACTGGGCAGTTTATAAAGAACAGAATTTTGTTGTTCACAGTCCTGGAGGCTGGGAAGTCTAAGGTTAAGGGGCCAGCAGATTTGGTGTCTGGTGAGAGCCCGCATCCTGGTTCATAGATGGCCATCTTCTCACTGTGTCCTCACATGGTGGAAGTGGAAAGCAAGCTCTCGGGGTCTCTTTTATAAGGGCACTAATCCCAATCATTTCCAAAGGCCTCACTTGCAAATGCTATCTCCTTGGGGACTGATTGGGTTTCAACATATAAATTGGAAGGGAACACAGACATTGAGACTATAGCCGAAGACAAGATGTGGTTATTCTTGTGGGTGGGATACAGACCGAAGGCACTGGGAGGGGAGCAGGTCTTTGAAGGTGGTGGGAGTGTTAACACTCAATCTGGGTACTGACAACATGCATAAGTACAATTTGTAAACTGCATACTTTTTAATGGATTTTCTTTATGGATTTAATTTGTAAATAAAGAAAATAAGAAAAGTTTGCCCATATTAGACATTTATAAAAATTATTGAAAAGCCTTTTGTCTACTTATAGAAGGTGTAGGTGCTCATTGTGAACTTCGTGATTGTACAAATTTATGATTTTGAAGAGCACTTTTCATTATAAAGTGTGATGGGAAGCCTGCTTTGCCATAGCATGACATTGAAATGTAGCATATCCCTTTAATCGCTCCCACTGGGAAGCCCCTCTGTCTAGCACAAAAGGTTAAAAACAGGTTTGGCTCAGTGGATAGAGTGTTGGCCTGCGGACTGAAAGGTCCAAGGTTCGATTTTGGTCAAGGGCATGTACCTTGGTTGTGGGCACATCCCCAGTAGGGGGTGTGCAAGAGGCAGCTGATAGATGATTATCTCTCATTGATGTTTCTAACTATCCCTTTCTCTTCCTCTCTGTAAAAAATCAATAAAATATATTTTTAAAAAATGCTACTTCATAAAAAAAAAAAGGTTACTGAACCTTACAGAAGTTGAATACATTGTCTAAATGTAGATAGATAGTAAATGACAGCTATAGAATTTGAACTCGTGTCTCTTTG